ATATATGAAACGAATACCATGTATAGACTTTAGAAACACTTTATTGGCGAACACCAATATCTTGACCTATCCTTACGTCTTTATCAAGGTACAACAATGTACCTTTATAAAGACTTAAGGATAGGTCGAAGTATTGGTTGTAATATTATATATTATATTATTTATAAGTAGAAATATTAAAGTTGTATTCTTTAGTTGTACAGTACTTGTTATTGCTTGTTGTTTGTCATACACTACTATTCATTTACAAATATTTTATTTTCTCGTTGTAGGTATGGTTTCAAAATCGCAGAATGAAAGACAAGCGACAAAGGATGTCAATGACATGCGGTTGGCCACACCATCACCTTGACCCTCACCTGTACTCTATGCTTTTAGCTGCCAGACCACCATTTACCCCTACAGCCGCCGCAGGAGCCTTTCACTACTACCCAGGCTTACATCCTAGCCCAGCGGCGACAGACTTGTACAGCAGTTACGCAATGCAACTTCGCAGCAGAGCCGAGATCCTCCGCTGTCTATCCTATCCATACCCCCAGCTTCCAGTCGCAGGATCGTCCACCGAGCAGACCAGTAGCCCATCTAGCAGTACAAGCAGTATAATATTTCCTAGTCCATCAGTCCCGACACCGTGTGTGCTTCATCATGGGTGCAACGGACACTCACACGCCAGCCCAACTCCTCTAAGCTTGCCCACATTAGAATCCAGAATAATTCCAAGTCGACATCCGCTTAATTCTACCTCTTTCTAAAAATTATAATATTGTTTTCAATATCCGTTCATAACACTGTAAATAATCCTGTTCCTTTATCTGCAATAATTACTGTACGATTTTACTCTGCTTCAAATTTGACCCGTGCTATAGTTAGTCTATATAATAATGGAATGTGTTTAATATTGCTGAGAATTGTTATATAATAACAAATGGTATTTAAGTGTACATATGCCTAAGCAAAATCAGCAACATAACATTTTTAATATAGCGGATATGAATGTGATAGTCTGCTACATTAAATTAACACCATGATGCCAAAAATCTTGAGATTTATAATAAAGGAAGAGATTATACTCTACAAAATGTCTTATTATCAAATTTTCTTCATAATTATACAAATAGTACAATATAGAGTTTGGAAAGCATTATGTTCACCTCCAATATGACCGAAGTCTCGTGCAATGATTGTCTAAACGAACGCACGTCACTGTGCGGTAGCCTATTGATTGTATGAACCATTTCATCGCAAATTTCGTTTCAAATTCAAGTCAGGAACATGCTGTGCGCACAAAAGTCGGAAGTAAATATTCAAGGAATCAAATGTATTGTCTGCAATACAGCGAGATACATTCGATAGGCGCTTGAGTCAATCTTGTTTGAACTCTTTGATCATGCATTTGGCAAGGTGATTTTTGCAGACGAATTAGGGTAACGATTTGCTTTTTTTAAAGATTGAATTATACATCATAACAAAAACGCGTCCTCGTGTTAACGGGCGCTTTCACTTGTGTTACATTGTCTAACGCATTTTTTTCCTAAGTGCTCGTACTTGTTATCTTTGATCAAATGTTTTTAAGTTAACATTTCGGTGTGTATAGGCCTTCATAATAATCCAATAATTCACGCAATTAAGCATTTATTCTGTATACCATCGTTCTGTGATCATTATAAATAGATATCTTGAAACATAACATCTCAGCCTCAATGAATTACACATAAAGGGGAGAAATTCCAGTAGTAAGGTTTTTGCATCTGCTTAACGAACGTGAAAGATTAAAATAAATATACTTAAGTCTACAGAAATCATAAGATACCATTAATTTTTTCAATCTTTTTATTCGTGAACGATGTCACACTAACAAAAAATATTTACACTTTCATGTTTCTCAAAATAACGTAACCATTTCTTTAATGATCGCCAGATAGACAGATCTGAATTTAATGACAGTAATTGTCTTAAATATGTTTTAAGTGCACAACGATAACGATCGTGATTGGTGATTTATAATGAGCTGAGTTACATTATCGTTTATTAACAACAGGCATGGAGTCTGAAGATGGGGTTGTACAGTACCTATGCCTCGAAGCAACTTCCACATGATAAGGATCAACGTTTACCCGATAGGCCTAACGAAAAAATATCCTTCAATAATTTGGTATTCAAATAGCATTGGATGATACGCTGACGTATATTCTTATACAAATATAGAATAATACAGCTTTATTAATTCCTAAATAAAGATTTGGTATTTTTTGGCATACATGGTTCATAAGCAAATTTTTAATAAGAAAAAGATGAAGAATTAAATATACATCCGAAACATACTGAATGTTATATCATTAGTTACTAATAATAGTAATTACTAATTTTATACTGCCATGCTGGAATTAAGTAAAATTAAAAGAAGACTAAGAAATCCACAGTTTTCCAAAATAAAACTGTGAGTGTATAGCATAAATAAAAAAAAAGGTTGAAACCATAAATTTTATCTGTAAATATTGTGAAAATAATTATGTGAATATCTCGTACCCGTCAAAATAAAAACATGGAATAAATAGGCATACATGCTTATTAGAAAAAAATAATTGTGTTTTGTGTTTTTTAATATGGTGTCATGGTGTCGATATTATTATCTTGTTCATAGAAATATGAATAGGCTATTATTATAAGAGTGGAATGAACAATATTGGCCTACGGTACGGTACGGTACATCACCTTGAGTATCCAAGGAAAGATGCAACAGCAACATCATTCAAATTACGTTTTTTGGTCATCTTTGTGGACGACACTAATAATCACTTTGTTTTACATTGTTGTAAAATACTATAATACATATCAGTGAATTTATTTTTTTAAATGCCAACAGCACAGGTTAAAATATATCACCAAAATACATACTTTTAAAAATGCACATTGTTGTCTCCCTCTAATTAAAGACCGGGTTGTTATGACCTTTTGCGGCCTATCTCGATTAGAAGCAATATAATTATAAAGATAGACATTCATTTCGTGCCGAAGAAAGGTGGCCTTTAATTGGAGGTGGTCATTAAGTGAAGGGGTCCATATTTAGAGAAAGACTTGCATTTCAATAAGTTAGAAACGGTCTTTTCACTGAAAAGTTAAATGAGAAATCATTTCCATTGCCAAATAACGAACATTTAAATAATACTACGCTCTTTACATGTGCTCTTTAATAACATATGTAAATTATTTGAAACCGATTTTTGTTCCATCTCTGTGGCGAATCCAGCAAAAAATAGGAGGGCCCGCGGAAGTACTTTCGCAGGTGGAGGATCTACCACCTCAGCCCCAAACATGGTGGAAGATTTGTGAAAAAAAAGAAAATTTGTGATTATGGCACCTCCACATGGCCGCAAATTGCTCTCTCTGACTTAAAATTTGAATATAATTTTCTTTATATCTACATTTTTTTTTTAATTTCGAACAATTGAGGAGGGGGGGTTCGGCAGGGCCCCCTTGAATCCGCCACTGCATCTCTGACTTATTGAAAGTTTATGAATTCAAAATTTTATTTTAAATTTGGGGTTACATTGCTTTATTTGTGTGTTTGTGTGGGGGTGGGGGTGCGTGTGTGTGTGGTGGTACATTTTTTAAGTACAATTTTTATTTCTAAATCAGTAAAAACAAAAATTCAGTTATAGAGTAGAATTTTGCTCTGTCTTCACTCTTTGTATTTTATTCTAGTAAAATGAGCCATGTAGATAAACTTTCAATATACTATTACTAAATTGCATATAGAGGTTATCATTTTCAAACACATTCCTTTTTAATTGAGCAATACAACCATGGGCGTAGACTAGGGATGCGAAGGGTGCGGATACACCCCCCCCTCCCCAAATGTGGAAAAATAAAAAATAAAATAAAATGTGAAAAAATAGTGATTTATATCCGCATCCTTATTTTTGCACCCACACACCCAGGCTGAAACCATGCTACACCCTTGAAAACAATATATTCTCCTTACTGTATAATATGGAATATAGGCCCTAAGCTTATTTCTGATATGATTTCAAAGGTAAATTGACAAAAGACTGAGAGTTGTTTTGGTGAACACAAATAAACTTACTTGTAATGCCGATGAAGCTTGTGGTTAAGATTCTTGCTTTCCCGGAATCCCAGGGTCCTTGCTTTAACGCTAAATTATTTTCTCACGATAAAATAATCTTCTCTCTTAGGTTTGATCAGGGCTAAGGTGGGAGCATCACAGAGCACCGCCTTAAGGTTAGTAAGTCCTAAGCTTGCTGTTGGATGTAATGAATAGGCCTACAGAGAACACGTTTCGAGAAAATACTTGTAGGCTAAATGATCGCAAGTTATACCTTCCCAGATAAATTTACAGCGTTAAACTCATCGTTCAATTTTAAGTTTCCTCCGATATAAATACTGATTTGGTACGCTAGTCATCAAGGGTTAATATTTGCATTAATATGCAGTATTACAATAGCAATATTACATAAAGGACCACTGATAGCATTATGCTTTAACACTAGGGGCTTCAACTACACCGTTTTTATGACACATTTTATACGAACACTGAGGCTGAGATTGAAGAAAAAAAATAAGAACAAATTGAGGCTGTGTTAAAATGTCAAATGAGTTTTTTTATATTAAAAATGTAGAAAACAAACAATTCAAGCTAACCACACACAGTAGCAGCAGTAGATGTGACTATGTAATATCCTCTAGAATACAGTACATTAAATACTTTTTTATTTTTGAAAAGTGTGTAAAATAAGAACATTTTGAGTCTGAAAATGCCAAAAAAATAAGAACACCGAGCCTGGGAAAAACTTTACTGGTTCTTATAAAAAAAAAAGTGTATTACATTCTGTTATGTTATAATTTGTCGAAGATTTGTGCGGTACTGATGCCCGCATAATCCTGAGTTATTGGAAACAGGTTGATATGAGGGTTTACGATTCTAAATCTAACATAGTATTTGCATGCATAGAACACAAAAAAATTAAGGACTGAGAGTGTGAAAGAGCATGGAGAAGGGAAGAGTGGTGGAAGTAAAGTTTCCGTGGAATGGATAATGAGATGTCTGCTGAGATGAAGAGCATACGCACTGTTCCCAAAGGGCTGAAAAAATGGTTAAAAGTGATTAAGGTTGGAAAACCTTACATGTAAACTTAAGCAATAAGTCTAATCAAAACAGAATAACTTAGAGTAGAGTAATTGGGAATGAAGTTTACAAACAAGGAGCTCATGACGTCTTATAAGGGACTTGTTATCGTCATCGATAATAAAGCGACTTTTGTGACCACGAGATGTTCACTTGACGTTACTGTTACAGACAGAGGCTCTGAACCTAATGTTTTTATTACCCTGGGTATCACAAAAAAGCAACTCACAATTTGTGTCTATGTTTGAATAATGACGTCATCAAATAACAATTTCCAGCTAAAAACTATTAAAATACAATACAATCAGAAATGCGGTTTTGATTTGATCCTTCATTACAAAATCATCATGCAGTAATTATAAAACTTTGGGAGGCCTAATAGGACAAAAATAAATACGTATAAATAAAACGTTATTATTTTCAGCTAATAGAAGTACCAGAAATATTTAGCCAATCAGCGAACTTCGTCAAGTAATAATTTGCATATTTACGGACGCGCCAATAGCCATAGCAACGCTGCTTCAGTAATTTTATCTCGTGCCAGCACGATTTTCTTCGTGCAGCCGACGGTCGTGCTATTCAGTATGCGTGGTGACTACCAAGCTGTTAGATTCTTCGCTGGGAATATTATTTTGCAAAACTGCTTATATTCTAACTTAGCTGACTTACTAGCAGATACAGTGGATAGCCATTTAAATCGGATTAAACTGTTTTGTTGTAAATTAAGATAAACATTCCGGTCAGTAGTATGTGTTAGTAGTGTCTGTGTGTAATGTCACACCTCGCAATAGTTAAGAGCCAGCTAATGAGGCGAGACGATGAACAAATTTACAAACTGTTTGATCGATTGAAAGAGAAGAGAAGCAATGGTAATTTAACCATTGATATGAGAGTACCAAGCCAATTGTTATCATCATTATAAAAATATTCT